CTCAAGATCAGCTGCAGACCTTATAACTAAAAACATCCTATGTTTGACTCATGCTTCTCCAGTTTCTCTGTTTTGGGAAGATTTTTTCCTCGTACATGTTCGCAAATAATGGTTGGCCGGCCATGGACGATAAGAACAACACAGTATAGGAATTCCTCAATAGAGTTGTGTTTATCCGTTGAGCCTTAAACACACGGATGAGGCCTTTGAGGTCACAAGTTGAACGGACTGACTGCCTCATTTTCAGAGGTGTCAAATAAACACAAGACTTTCACATGAAGTCACAATATACACAGCTAGACTAACAGTAAACATGAGCGAGAGAACGATCGGGGAGGTGTTAAGTTGTGGACATAAAGGAACTGATGGAGTAAGAGGAAGAACAATGAAGACGTGATCGCTGATGGAGGGATAAACTCCTGCAGAGAGACGTGAGATGATGGTGATCCTGACTTTGTCTGTGCTCGGGGTATTTTTCTTACTCACTCCCTCACTGAAAGAGTGTGTGTAAGCTCAGAGTGGCCCCATTATTGATAGCTCTAACAAGCCCAGGTCAGAGGTCATGCATTGGTGAGTGGAAAAGGATGGAGCAAGACTGTTAAAGGTCCTTTAAACACCACCTGCCTTCCCCTACACACACACACACACACACACACACACACACACACACACAGAGTCACACACACACACTCACACACACAGAGTCACACACACACACACACAAACTTGGCTGATTGTTGCCAGACCATATTTAAACACATCCCTAGTGCCTCTGTGTGATTGTATACAGAGATGGGAAGAGTTTGCACTGATTCTAGTTTACACTACATTCTTGGAGTTCAAAGTGTAATAACGAGACTGTAATGCAAACATTTGGTAGTTTCTGTAGTTTTCAGCATCCTTAGGTTTATTCTTTTGCCTTATCTCCCAAACTAAAGCTCCTTTTTTGGAGTTTTTAGCAGACTATGAAAGACTAAAGTGAAAACTGATACATTTGTTTGACTTGAAAAAAGCGAACCAGTCCAACAGAGAGAAGATTTATTATTCCATCACAGTTAATATATCATTTCTGTTACCACGGCCGCTGGGTAGGTGTCAGATGAGGAGATTAACAGCATGCTGCAGACGCAGCAATTTTTTTTACACAGGAAAGTTTCATAGTGAACAATACGTTGGACATTTTAAACAAAAAAGGAAGAAACTTTTGTCAGAGAACATGGCTAGAAAGTGTTATGATCATCATCAGCAAAGATATAGGGCATACTGCTTTGTCCACAGGGGGCGCCAAAGAGGGACAAAAGGCAGTACAAATATTATAGTAAATTCCACAAGACTAAATTGTTCACTACCAAAATAAAACAGAAGCTCCAAATTCAAAAACAATATTTAAAAATATTCTCAAATCATTCTCATTCAATTTTTTTCTTCCAATACTAATTTCCATACATGAACCTGATTGCTGTCCTCATGCTGGGTTTGCTTAAAAAAACACTTTACCTGAAAGCTATTTAAAAATGTATTATTATTTATTTAATTTTATTTATTTTGCTCACACTGGGACAACTATTGTGCCATCGAGAATCATAGTGACAGCAGAGCTTAATTAAGACACTGTTGCAGACTTGCAACGTGTAATCCCTTAATAATTAAATAATGTCGTTTTAGGAAATGGCCAAGCTACGCTACTGTACCATTATCATGTAAATTGTGGTATTTTGTTTTAAAATAACTGTAAACTAATAATGACATTTTTCACTATACTTATCCTCCTCATAAACCCTCGCTGACTCCCCCCTGGTTCGATTCAGGCCATCGACCCTCTTCTGCATGTCACTCCCTCACTCTTCTCAGAGCGTCTAGTCTCTCACAGCTGTAGACTTATTAAGGCACAAATTGCCAAAAAAACTGAACAATGCGTGTTTTTGTGAGAACACTTCACAGTAAATCAGCCCACTGTGGATAAAAGCCTTCTCCTTGGCTTCGTCTCCGTCTTCCCCGCTGTTCTGCGTGATAACAACAATAGTACCTTCTCAAAGATGCTCTCTGCCTCTCAGCCTTACTTCTCTCTTTGATAGAAAACATCATACCAGCAGGAGTTCATAGATAACAAGACAAAGATTCCCATTGGGGCCCAATCAATCAGTAAAATGATGCAAAAATCTCCAGTATGTGGGAAAATGAGACTCGGTTGTGATTCATTGTTACCATAAGTTTCACTGCATCAATATTTTCTGTTTTTATTTCATTATGGGCCCACCTGTATAATCAGTTTGAATATTTTTCAATTGTAGGCAGTTAACCAAAGTAATTAAAGTCTGCACAGTGTTAGAAGAAGCTTAAAGTATCTTTGCACGTTTTATCATCAGTAAATCAGGACTATGTTTGTTATTCTTTACTAGAACGGAGAAATGTGCTCGCCTCAGTCAGCCTCTATGCAGCAGCTGCACAAATGAGCCAGTGGTCGAATAACATCTCTGAAGTGACAGGAAGTAGCGGCGGGGTTTTATGGGAAATATGGACATCATTTTGAGAAACATTAGCACTGTCTCACATGTGTGGAAAAGAAGAAAAAGAAAAGGATATCAGATATCTATTAGTTAACAGCAATTTTTTTCAATTTCACAACATTTTGGAAAATATGGATTTGATAATGTAGAGCTTTGTAATATATCACAGAGTTATTTTTTATATAAATATACAAAGTAAAAGGAGGTAGTTATACGCACATCACGTAGGTCGGGGCAGTGCAAAAACAGCAGGCTCAGGAAGAAGATAGGCCCAAACACACTTGCTCCATACTTTTTGTGGCATTTGAGCAAGTGTGTGGGCCTATATCTCCTTCCTACATAAATATATTAAACATTAATTTGTTTTTGTTAAGTTTCTCTTATAACTGTGTTTTGCCAGATATAAAGATGGTGGGATAACAACAACACACACACATTCACACAAGCGAACAACATTAACAAACACAGAGCCTTACGAAACTCCAAACACACGTTTTTTTTATTGTTTAAAGTCAGCATAATTTATTATTTTGTATATGGTTTAAAGGGTATTTTCATATGTTTCTATATTTAATGTTAGGAAAGTGTTACTGTTTCTAAATTTGTAAAAATATTTTTTTTGTCTTTGGATTTATTTATTTTTTAACATTTATTTTTGGCCTTTATTTAGAGACATGACAGAGAGAAAGAGAGAGAGAGAGAGAGAGAGAGAGAGAGAGGGGAATAACATGCAGGAAAGGAGCCACAGGTTGAGTCCGCACATGAGCCGCCCGCTTTTGAGGACTTGCGCCTCTGTACATGTGGCGCATGCACTAACCACTAGGCTACCGTACCTACGCCCCTGCCTTTGGATTTATCAGCGAAAAAGTAAAGAAAGACAGGAAATGTGGGAAAGAGCGGGGATGACGTGCACCTTTTAGCATCAAGGGCCAGAGTCAAACCCGGGGCCAATGCATGAGGCCTCAACCTTGGCATAAACCTTCCAAGTTGTACTTTAATGCTTTGGCAAATTGTTTCAGAAACCTCCATGCTAATAGAGCCTTGTAATTGGATTAAAAATAGACAGAAAATGCAAGTCTCTTCCTGCCTCTCCTTCAGAATCACATTACAAAGGTTTCTCAACTATAAAAGCCTGATGTAGACCTTATAAAATACTCCCCTTACAAAGTTACTGCGTCGACAAAATTAAAGACTTAAACGGTTATAAGTCCTACGTATTAGCACAGTTGCAGCAGTATAACATTAAACTCAGGGAGCTTTAGGACTCCTGAATTGAACTTGTGAACTGACCCTCCTCACACAAACAGATCTAAATTCTCCCTCTCTGCATCTGCCCATTATGATAAACACAACAAGGCAATGGTTTGACTGAAGCACTTGAGGCTATCTGAAAATATGCAGCTGATCCAAGTTGTTCATATCCGCCTTGAGCCCTCATTCGCTGACAAACAGGGGGGCGTTTTCTACTGGGTTCACTTTAGGTAGATTTGTTTGTCTTACCTAATTTGTCAACTTCATTTCAAAATGTATAGCTGAATAATTCATATTTCTCTGGATCTACAAGGAACATCTGTTTCTTACCTCTAACCATTTCAATTCTCTGTTAGAAAAAAACGTTAAATATTCTCTTCAATTGGGTTGGGCGCTGAATTCTCATGTCCACTGTGATTTTCTCAGGAGCTCTCTGGCTTTCAAACTCGCATATAGGGCGGCTCTCTGTTTTGAAAAATGTATCCTGCCGACACAAAAAAACTCCACACCTACTGTCTTTTCAATATGCTGAAGAGGAGAGAGTTTGTGTTTGTCTTTATTAAAACAGAGCAGAGAAGTGAAGAATAGCAGAGGTATTTTATTCTAATGGTTTTGCTCAAGGGGTAGAAGTTAAACTTTTTGTGCTTTCTATCACTTCTATTATTTACTAAATGTTTGGTTGAGCCTTGTTAAGGTTTTTTATTACCTCCTCAACCAAAAAAAAACCCTTTTATTTCAAATCTACCCTCTGAAACCAAACCACATGAAAGAGTCAACTGAGCCTTTCTACTACTCCTAAAGGCAACTCACAACCAAGCGCCTCTTTATGGACCAATCCAAACACTGCGCTAGTTTTAACAGACAATTTCCTTATTTACTCTCTTCTCTTTCAGCTCCTTAATTCCATCAAAATCAATCACAATAACTGATAAGAAAAGCAGGCCACCCAAATTCAAGACTCCAGACTTCTTCTGCGGTCGGTTTGAGTTAACTGTAACCAGCGAAAACGTCAGTGCTCTGTTTACTAGCCTCTGCTGCTGCACCCTTCTATCCATCCCCACATTCCTCCTTTACAAATTACATTTGTCATTTTGAAAGCTGATGGTTTCCATTGGCATGCTTTGAACCTTGTGTGAGTATGTACGTATGTGCAGTGCACGAGTGTTTGTGACCTTGAAAGCTCAGACCAAGGCCAACATGTAGAGAGAGAAAAAAGACATTTTTGTGTGTGTGATCTCCTACCTGTTATTGTAATGTTGCTGTAGATGTTGGACAGTTGCTCTTTCAGCAGGACGAGCTGTGTGGTTGCAGCCTTCTCTCTCTGTAGCTCCAGCATTATATCAGGATGGTTGGCCACTTTGCAGCCCTTCTGTTTGTCCAATGCAATATCACTGCGCACGATGTCTGCAAGCCGGCAAAGTTTGAAGAAATAAAGGAAAAAAATACATTAAAAGAAAGACAAACGAGACAGATGTTTGGTTTTCCAACAGGTGGTCCAGGCTTTTGCTGTAAGTTGTATTTTGAAACAAACTATCAAACATGTAGGCTACTTTACCTTATGACAAATAATGTTTCTTAATTAAAGTGGAAACATAATTGTGTTGTTGAGATACATCACAAACAAAAATGTAAGTAGCAAACTAGAAAAGTAAACCAACCCATATTTGCAAGCCGACATAGATGAAAGACATCAACGCTATGTTGATTTATTTGTTGTCATATTAGAAAGTATTTATCATGTGACCAAAACAATGGTGTCTACATAGTTTGCATTTTTTAGGACTGCACTGGCTAAAAGTAAGTCAGTCAAAAAGGGTACATTAGCTTAACAATAAAACAACACTCTACATTATTGATTTTTTTTTTGATAAGTTATTCACCATGTTGGCTACTTTTGGTTGTAGTTTAATAAAACCTTATTGTGCATTATTTAAAGATAATGATAATATGTATTTAATATATGGGAGGGGGGAGGGTGTTGGCACTGTATATGAAGTTGGAGGAATTATTGATAGGAGAAGAACTTTCTTTAAACAGGTTCTATCTAAAATGTTATTTTATGAAGTTAATAAAAACATGGTAGGCCTACATTACAGGGTGGGTTAGTTAGTTAGTGGGTTAGTTAGGTACCCCTAAAACTGGCTTCCTATGGTTTAGCAAGAAATGTACGTTGTTTCAAATAGGCTACAAAAGAAACATATTTTAGAAAGAGTCGTAGTGAGACAAAGGAGAGACGTGAGGAGGAAAAATGCTGATAGACAAGAAACAGACCGCTTAGGAAATTTTATAAAAATTCACATTAAATAGACGAAACGAGCTGTCGTGTCTTATTACCGTCCTCGTAGTTCTTCAGGTAATAGTCTGGTCCCGGTCCTCTGAACTTCGCCAGGTTCTTGTGGTTGTTGAACTGAAGGTAGTCGGTCCTCTTTCCTCCAAAACGAAGAAAGGCGGGCGACAGGCCGCGCGCCAGGGTCACGAGCCGCTTGGAGCTTGAGGACACACGGCGCGAGACACCAACGTAAGAAATATGACGTTAATAGTGTCAGATATGTGTTGTTAAAATGTTGTGATGTAGCTTCGATATAACCTAGTAAAAATAATAATAATATAAATCACCAGTTTGTTAAATGTTCACTTCTTTATTTTCGTTAATAGTATTTTTTACAGACTTAGAGTGTAAATATTTGTGAGAAGCAGAAAATAGAGTTTTGAATGAATTGTGATTTAACTGGCCTATGCTATAGCTGTGAACGCAGTTCAGGCCCATCACAAAACTCGCTTCCTGGTTTTCCCATTAACACCAGAGGCCCAAAGCAACAGGCAGCGGCTTCAACGTCATCTGTCAGCCGGTAGGAAAGCGCTGATGAAGGGTACAGTAAGTACAGAATTACCTGAATGATAAGTGACCCAAATGGGCTCCAAAACGCTCAGAGGATGCACGGGTTCATGTCCAATATTTTACATTTAAATTACTTACTCAGGCCTACTTACTATAAACGGAGACTAAAGGAAATTAAATTAAACTTTGCCAATAATATGTTGCTTCTTTCATTGTCAGCTGTAAAGGACAAGTAGCCTATATACATATCCCTACCTTTTTTTAATGAGCTTTCTACAAGTGAAAACATGAAGGTAATTAATTTAAAAAACTATTACAAAATAACACGTCAACCAGGCTATTTCATAGAAGTTAACTGGAATGAGATCAGTAGCCTATAAGTGATCTGTTTAGGCTTGAAAAGGTTACTGTTGTGTAAAAGGGGGTTTAATTTGTCAAAAACGAATAATGTTCAATTTTGGGACTTCTCTTTTGTTGTTGTGACTCATTTAGTGTTTATTTATGGTCTAGGCTACATAGCTATCGGCTTAACATGCTAAAATAAAAAAAAGTGATGATAGATGTATAAAGTGCCGGCAAACAGGTCTGTTGCGACTGTACCAACTGCTTCATATCATGCAGGGTTATTAAAACCAAATCAACATAATTTCAATTATAGTGAATGAGGGTAAATGTGTATATTCTAAATTAATTACTAAAACAACATTAGTTAAGACCTAAATAAAAGTAAGGAGTTTATACAAAAGAAAGACATTTTGAACAACATGTGATTCAGCCTACATGATGCTATAGGAAACTAAAAGTGGTCTCATACACTTATTGTAAAATAATAAAACAGTTTTTTTATTGTCTCCCCTTTTTAGAGAGTGAATGGTGGAGTTAAGATGCATTGAAGCATGTCCTCTTACCTTTTGTCAGTAAATTGTGTAACAAAGATACAACATGATTTTCCAACAACTTGACTCAAGGATCATTTCTGATTGATCTAATCGAGGATCGTATGACTCATTATAGTCTGTGTGTTTTGACAGGACAAGGTTAGCTTTACATGGGACCTCCATAAGTCATTTTCTAGGATGACAAGTCTGGGTTTTGAAAATGTGATGCAGACTTAAGAGCCTTACTGTGCGTCCCATCAGAGAAGTTTAAACTGTTGTGTGAAATGAAGGTTAGAAGTCACAGAATAGCCTAAATTAGGTCACTTTTCCCCATGCATGTTACACTTACCCAATAGGCCTATTTTTTTTTTTTTTTTCAAATAACCGTGCGTAGCATTTGGCCCATGCACGTAAAATTAAATTCGAGTAAAAAGAAAAACAAAATTAGATTTACAACTTTTGAAATCGACATCATGCACCCTGAACTTGATATACGAAGGCCACACAACGGTGTCCACTGCTAACAGGATCATCTGTACAAAATCTAAGCTACCCTGCAGTATATCAGGGGGAACTCCAAATGAATAGCCATTGATAACCGTTCCCTATCGACGTCATCAAATTAGTTGATTATACGTGTGCCGTTTACCAGTCTCGAGGGGAATACCTCGGTAATTTGTTGTCGTGGACCACTCAGTATTACTCTGGCAGAGGAAGAAACGTGCTGATTCACTCAATTCAGACAACGTGGCTGCATGCGTAATGTATTAAAGAAGCGCAAAACCTTTTACAGATCGATATGATTGGAATGCTCTTTGATACCTCAGAAAGTCCAGCCAGCCGTCTTTGATGATCGAGGGGTCCAGCTGAAGAGAGAGGAAGTTCTCGTTAAGGACTCTGATCGGACTGCGGGTGTTTACATCCAGGAGAATCAGCGTCCTCTCCATGAAGCCCGGCCGCTTCGCACTGGCCCCTGGTCTCTGATATGCCGAGGAAGACGTGTAGGAGGAAGAGAGCACCGATTGCACCACCAAAGAGGCCAAAGATGCCAGCCAGAGGGAGACGCAAGGTGAAGATTTGGGCATCTTCTTAGTTTGGCGAGCAGGAGGATCAGTGCGCGTAATGAGGTTTTGAAGTGAGAAGAAATTACAACAAGTACAAGAAATCTGCAGCCGCGAAGTTCGATGGTGGTTCTTCACCTCTTTTCCATCGATCTGGATCTGTCTTCCTGTCTAGTTGTCTCACCCCCTCTGCCCCCCGCCCCTCTGAGTATTTTTGGGAGCTGCTCACTGGAGCGCACGCCCCGAGCCAGCCTTCCCGGCTGCGAGAGCCAGGAGCTGGGAGGAGGAGAGGAGGCAGCACCGCCCCTCCAAGGTTCTCTGAGGTATGAGAACAAACTGCTATAAAATAGTTTTCTCAGCTCATTTGGCTAACAGCTGCTGAGTCTCAAGAGGTTAGGATTGGCCTCTAGATGGTCAAATAAAGCTGTATTTTAATTAGCATCACACAAAATAAAGTAATACTTTTTGGGGAAAAGGTAAATTCCAACATTTCATTCAAGCCTAAAGAGTCCTCAGGATCAACAAGTAGCTGCGCATACTGGCGTTTCATTTTGAAACTTTTTAGCCCAGAGAAAGTAGTGAGCCATCTTTACTGAGTTATATAGACTATTCCTTTTGTAAAGGTTAAAGTCTTCATTATAAGGAGAGCGAGAGTTATCAAATTGAATTTAAAAAACTGAGCGTAGAATGTATGTAAACCTCATGTAAAACGTTTTTAGTGCCACGAAGTTGTGCGCAAGGCCTGTCCGAGGAGGAAGTTGATCTCAAACTCTTAAAAACTCTGACTTGTCCTTTGTACAGTCATTTGAATAGTAATAACGCAAATAGATTACAGACTTAAATTCACATGTGTCCATTTTCATTACAAATTACACCATTTCTGAAAACTGTCAAATGTTCCAGGAGAAAATCCATGTCGTAAGGCCTCCAGGAATCTGCAGCTCACACGGCCCTTGAGAACAAAAGGCGGTCTGCTTCAAAACAAGAAAAGATACAATCTTGTCAACAGGACATTTCATGTTTCTTGGCACTGTAGAGCCTTCAGTTTGTTATGAACAATACCTGATTGATTGCACATTGCTAAACACAAGTGACATTTTGGAGATGTCAACATGAACACTTTGGTCTCCTTTGTGAAAAACATTCAAAACCAATTTCAGATTTAAAGTTCCGACACATGTACTCACCTATAAACTCTTTATGGGACTTTTGTCTCCAGATGTTTGGAGCCTTGGTGCGCATGCAACAAGCCAGACAACCTGAGGGCCATTGTGCCTCTCTTCAGGTGGTCAATGCAGAAAGATGTGGTCGTTTAAGGTCATTGCTGTCCCACAGATGAGAAGAGAAACTTTCCAGCTTGAATCTTTTTCCCCCGGCCTAAAACACAGCCACGAATACTTTCAGCCGCAAAATTATCCGAGGTGTTAATGCTTCAAGTTTTACGCACGAACGTTTCCATTAAACTCATGAAAGGAATACAGAAGGTTGTCTATACGTGACTGATCCGTAAAAAAAACAACCCGTTAATGCTTAAATTTAACGTAAAAGTGCTGCTCCTGAAGACCACATGCACTTTAAGAACACTTAGTGACAAAGAAGAAGCAAGCGATTATTAAATCCGTTGTTTTTTGTTCTTTCTTTAAGCAGATACAGAAAACGAAAGGCCTACGGCGCAATTAAATCGATTAAACATCATAACTAACATCTGTCTGCTTTTCAGTAGAAGAGTGTTGAACTCTTTTTTTTTATACATGTAGCCTCCAAAAGCTACAAATTCCTGAATAAGCTCGAAAGTATTTAACCCAAGTCATGTGGTGCGACACTGAGAGTTGTGAGGCTATTTTCCTGAGAAAAGTCCAAAGAAACTTTCCCCAAACGAAACATCACATTTGTACAGTAATTCAGAAAGAAATTGAATGTGTGTCTCGGCAATCTTGTGCAAAATATTTCATTATTTTTTTTGCAGTGAACCTTGCACCGTATTTATAACCTCTTCAATGGATCGACAGAAATCTAATAAACTGAAATTGAAGTTTTGAAATTGTTTTTTGGGAGGCTCCGATTAAAAGTAAATGAAAACAGCAGCACACACTCAGTTTGCCCGGCGGAATATTTGTCATGAATCCCACGAGGGAGACGATGGGAAAATCTACCGAGATTTTGTTTTGAACCCGAGACTTTAGATTCAGGTGATGATTTATTCTAACACATCATTTTAATTAAAACATCTTTGCAAGAAAATATTCATGTGAAAAGTCCGTTGGAAAAACACAAGCAGTTTTCATCGGTTATTTCTAACAACAAGTAATGAAACGCTAAACTTTGAGCTATGACAAAATCAGAATATTAGCCTATCGATCTTTAAACTTACTTCATTAAGTTCAGTGTTTGTTACTTTGAGTTTTTTAATCTTGAAAAGTATATGCGTCGGTGTTAAGGAAACCAATGCAACATTTTTGTTGTCGTTGTGTTACAGCATTTTTAACAATTAAAAAGTGTATTATATGAAGGCCTACTGATACGTTATCTTACAATTACTGCAGAGGATTATATCGGGCTGAACATGTAGAAGTTATTAAAACGTCCAAAGGGAAATACGATCAGCCAAACACCCCGAAAACTTTGTTGATTTATTGTTCACTTTCCTGAAGTTTTAAGTGTTTTCTGTCGGTCTATGTTTCAGCTGTCATTTATAACTGGACTTCCGACAGTTAATATATCGACAGAAATAATGATAGAGGAGATCAAAGTGGAGATTTAATCCTCAAAGAATCATAGAGGATTTTTTTTTTGTTATATTTCAAACATTTTAGATGGTCGAACACTTCATAATCCCTCGGTTTTCTTGCAGCTTCAAATCCTCTAAGATGTTAAAATCGGAAGAAACGGAGGCAAAGTCTTGATGTTCTTTTAAACGTTTATGTTTAAAGTAAAGTGCAGGTGGAAGTGGACGCATGGTTATCCTTATTTCACCGCTGCTCCTCTGAAACAGATTGTTGGGTTCCTGGATGTGTGGCTGATGGAGAGCAGAGACTGTTCGAGTGTTTAAGACCTGGCAGGACTCTGTTCTCACCTTCAGTTTCCTGCCTCGTAAATCCGACACGTGGTGCTCATCGAAGTCAGCTGCACGAGGACTTCACAATAATAATAATAATAAATATAATAATAATAATAATAATAATAAATATAAGAATATATAAGAATAAATTCGATTGTAACCTATTTTGTGATTTTTTTTAAATAAATGTGTATTCATATTTCATGTTATTTTATTATTATCATAAGCATAATAAGCCTATTCAAGTGCACGTGGATATTACATAATCATATTTCCCTCTTTTGTAGTTCTATTAATAAGTATACTCTTTATGAATAAAACATCCGATGAGAAATAAAAGTTTAATGGGTCAGCCAATTTGAAGCTACAGTATCAAAACATGTATTTTGTAAGATGTTTTGTGATTTTGAAACTGTTGGTCTTTTTGTTAAAGATTAAAAATTCAGGAGATGAAACTATTTCACAAGACTAAGAAATCAATTCCTAAATATCATCCCCGGCATTTCTCAGTTTGAAGCTTGGTAAACAGCACGTCGTGCTTCCGAGATCGGCTGCACTAAAGCGGGTGATAATACTGCCATCTAGTGGAGACATACAAAAATGCAACCCAAAAATGATTTAAGCGGTTTTATATTTTGGCATTTTTGCAATATTGCCTTAATACTTTAAATTAGAGCGATGTATGACCGACATTTAGACTCGATAGACTCGTGGTAATCTTTATTTTGCTATGATTTTCGTTGAAAGCCGTTTAATATTAAGCACAATAAGGCTGATCTACATGTCTCTACAGGGTTGTTTGATCCCGTGCATATCACATAAATCATTCATGATTGGGCATTTCCTGCTTTCTATTTTTAGAGAGTGGCAGAGAGCAAATACAGCAGGCTTACGTCACGGGTTGTCATGTATATTTAAGGACTCTGGTGCCCCCCTCCTCTCGCTCTCTCTCTCTCTCTCTCTGTCAGTAACATACCCATCCTCTGCTTCATGGATATGGCCACCCAGCTGCTCCATCCATCCTATCCGCAGACCACGTGACCCACTTCTCCCATGTCCTTCACTAGTTCATTCAGCATGATGGCTGCGGATGCTGCGGATGCTCTCTGCTGCATCCTGCATCCGCGCCGGCTCTCTCTCCTCCTCCTCACTGTCACCCTCTCATCTCTGCCGGACCCAACAGCAGCGCTGCTCGGCGTCCGGCCGGAGGATACTGATAGAGGAGAGCTGTCCGTACAGGGTGGGATACTAAGGGCGACCGAGGGGACCCGCTTCATGCTGAGGGTTTACTACACTGCAGCTCTTGCCGCGGAGCATCCCAACAGTCCAAACATCAGCGGCAGACCTGATGCTGCTTCTGTGGCTCCGTGGATAGCGTTTATTGAGGAACCAGGCAATGACAGTGGGGATTCGGAGAGGCGACTCCAGTCCAGAGGGAATCCGTGTGACGAGGAAAATGCTCGGAGCTCGGACATCGAGCTTCTGGGCTCCTTCAGATCCACCTCAAGTCAGAACTCAGTTTTGGTGGAGCTGCTCGCGAAGGACCTTCGCAGAGGAGAGGCGATCAAATACTACTCCATGTGCGCATTCGATGGAGTGAAATGGGAGCATTTCAGCACCAAAGACTTTTGGTTGGCGGTGGTGGAGAGACCTCAAGAGGCGGATGTTTGGCTCCAGACGGGGGTCTCCGTGCTGCTGTTGGCGCTGTCTGCGCTTTGCAGCGGGCTGAACATCAGCATGCTGGCTCTGGACCCCGTGGAGCTTCGGGTCCTGCAGAACAGCGGCACGGAGAAGGAGCAGAAATACGCACGGAATATAGAGTCTGTGCGTAAACATGGAAACTACATCCTCTGCACGGTAGTGCTGGGCAACGTGCTTACAAACACATGCTTTGTGGTGTGGATGTGCCAGATTTTAGGAATGACTGCACTTTCAACTGCCTCATGCACTTTTGGGATATTCTTTATTGGAGAGATTTTACCTCACTCCGTGGCGTCCAGGCACAGCCTCGCCATCGCGTCCAAGACGCTCTGCGCCACCCGCCTCCTTATGCTGGTCTTCTTCCCCATCGCCTACCCCGTCTCAAAGATCCTGGATTTCTTACTGCACCAGGAGATCAGCAGCTTCTACACCAGGGAGAAGTTGGTGGCCATGCTGCGCGTCACAGACCCGTACCACGACCTGGTCAAAGAGGAGCTCAACATCATCCAAGGAGCGCTGGAGCTGCGAACTAAAACCGTGGAGGACGTGCTGACCCCACTGTCAGACTGCTACATGCTCTCCTCAGACGCAGCGCTGGACTTCTGCACCATGTCAGACGTGATGCAGAGCGGGTTCACGAGGATCCCGGTCTACGAGAACGACAGGTCCAACATCGTGGACATCCTGTTTGTGAAAGACTTGGCCTTCGTGGATCCTGACGACTGCACTCCTCTGAAAACAATCACTCAGTTTTACAAGCATCCAATGCACTGCGTGTTCAATGACACCAAGCTGGATGTGATGCTGGAGGAGTTTAAGAGAGGTAAATCCTATCAGACTTCGATTTATGAGTGTGTGCTGAGTGTGTGAGGCTCCTCCATATGTGTGTGTTTTTGGAACAGTCTCAAGGCTCCCTCCTGCCACATCGGAGATAAATGTGCTTTGATGTGACTGCTCACTTAATAAACTAAGTTTTCAGAGCAGAAACCAATGTACACAGCAGTCCATTGGCTCACAGTGGGCCTGTCAGTGAAAGCCTTTGATCATTAGAGCAGTGAGCTCCATATGTGAAATGTGAGCCAGTGTCACACAGTGAGCGTGGTTCAGACAGAGGTTAGAGGCTACTGAGGACCAGGATGCATGGGGCCATCTTAAGAATTCATGTTTGGAGAGTGTTTTTCCAAGACAATATCGCCTTGAACTTCATCTGCCCCCAACTATTCCTTCTGTTTTTCCTTTTATGTAATACCATGGCTATTTATTATTTTTCTTGTACTTAAATTTCATGCTGAGGCATGTTCCTCCACTTGATTGGCAGCTGAAGAGGTGAATATCTTGTGTCTGTGACTCATCCGTCTTTTGTCTGATAAGCTTCTGTGCTGATTAGTGCATTCAGTATTAGAGCTCACATGCACTGATAGCACGTCTATTCATTTCAATAACAACAATGCCAACAGAAACAACAATTTTGCAACTGAAGTATTCCCTTTAATATCAACAAAGTGAGTATATCATTCTTACTGTATGGTTGTCCTTTTAATAGGTTTGCCTTTATATAGTTCTGAGTTATAAAGGTTGATGTGACAGCCATTTTAAAGATGCAGGAATATTATTATCTTAAAGAATTTATGTTGCAAAATGTGCAAAATTGACAATAACCCCTTAAATCTTATTCGCCCCCCATCATTCTTACATGCTTCCCCCTCATCATGTGTATCATTTTTTCGTTTTGCATACAAAACATCTTATCGAGCAGTATCTAAAAGGTCGCTAAGTAAGAGTAGAGGTATTGTCCTGTGGTTGATCTGTCGGCAGAGGCAGAGAATATTGACTTAATCTGACTCACACATCTTTTGTCTGATAAGCATCTTTGCTGATCGGTGCTTTCGCAGTATTACAGCACATAAACACTGATAGCATCCCTTCACTCCCGAGCAGAAGGGTTTTGCCTCTCCACGGGGACTTCATTCAATGTTGATGATCACATTGAATTTCTGAATCCATGCTCTGTACAAAGAAGCTCCAACTGCTCCCCTGAATGTGTCAAAGGCTCTAATGGAGACATACGAGAGTCTACTGGAGCGCCTGTTATGTCAGGATTTCATTGGCCTTGGCTTATGTTGTGGGGATTAAGATGTAAATCTGTTTCATTGACAAAGAGAAGCTCAACATATGGAGAAGCTGTTGTCCAATCAGAACGAGGAAGGAGACCCAGCCGTGACTTTGGCAGGATCATAAATCAGATTGCCTCTTACAGGTTAAAGGGTCAACCGCTTTATTTTGATTCAGATTATGGAGGGTGGCTTTGGTTTGACCCTGTGTAGGTTTCTATATTGTGTGTTATTTCTAGATGAGGTTAGGTGACAAGGTGAACTCAGGCGTCACCTTTAGATTGTCTGTGACCACCCTATAATTGTGAACCCTGCCGTGACTTTGAAGCTGCTTTCCACTCTGCAGGTCGTCTCCAAGCAATCCTGCAGAGCAGTCATGAAAAATTCAGATCCAACCTTTCCCCTCTTCTTCAGCCTCCTTCCGTCTTTGCTGTCATAGATTAAAGACTGCTGCTCAGGAAGCCCGGCTGGGAGCTGAGAGGATGTCTCACTGAGCAGGGTGAAGGGCTGGGGTGATGTCTGGGGGGGCTGGAAATGTCACAAGTAATGTAGGAAATATAAGAGGGGACTGCAATTACACTGTTTATGGGACAGATTTTTTTTACTTTTCATACAAGCTATGCCTTTTGCCTCATGTTTTAATGGCATGGAAGAATGAGGTAAAGGGCATAGTAAGTTTGTGTTGCGAGTAAATTGGGCCAGATGTGGCATTTAAACAGGCCGGGGGGGGGGGGGGGGATTGTGGGATTGTGACTGCATCTTTTAGCATGATGGAAGTAAGGTAAGGTTGGTTCAGCCGGCAGATCATGAGTCTGTAGGTGTAACACGTTAAGCTCTTCACAATATGGATGTGAGTGTCCTCCTCTTTCCTTAATGCCGGACTTAAGGAACATCTCAGATGTTGTGAAGGTTAATGAGTAACACAAAACCTGCTGGAAATCCTATTAACTGGGATGATGTATTCCATCACTGGTGAAAGTAGTCTTCGGTAATTAGCTCAAGCGAAGGTGAGACAAAAAAGGTCACACAAAAACACGCTACATTACAACTTCAAATCATGCATTGTACATTTTTCCTAAGTAAAAGTACCAAAGTATTATCAGAACGTAGCAAAATACACTTGAACTATAAAATGCACAGATAAGGGTCCTTGTTAGTGTTTTATTATCTCAACATAAACTTATCTCTGCTTTGTAAGATGACCTTGAGTGTTTTGAAAGGCGTCTTTAAATAAAATGTATTATTATTATTATTATTATTATTATTATTAATAAAGTGTACTTTCATTTTGTAGTTGGTCAAATTGGAGTTAATGTAAACTATGCCATTCACCATAGGACAGTGTAATCACTGAATCATACTAATGGATGCTTATGTATAAAGCTCCATGTTTAAAATGATCACTTGTTTTGGATGTCAAATTCTAAACTACAAAGTAAATAGGAGCTTAGAGAGACACTTCATTGTATCTGAGTGAACATTTTTCGATGTTCTCCCTGAAATGTGTCAAAGTGGACGAGTGCTGAATTAACATTTGACTCAGATACAGTGTTGTGAGGTAATATATTATAGGTGAATACAAAATAAAAGCCTCGAGGGTTTTTCTAAACACCTTGTGTGAATATATATTTTTGTGTGTTCTTTAGTTTAACAAGAGTTTTTAATACAGCTACCAGCGAAACTCAACTGGTTTTGTGTCAATAGTTATGTGATGATAACAAAGAAAAAAAACATTTTGGGCTAGACGAGTGGTCGTTAGTCAAAGCTGCGTCCGCTTGCTCAAAAGCGGGTTAGTTGCGCTATGTTAGCGACACTAAAATCTAGGTACAGGAAGTAGTGTCGAGAAGGAAATGGTATTGTAATGTCTGTAGTGTTACAACACAGACAGACATAGGGCTGGGAATCTTTGGGTGTCTCAAGATTTGATTTTCATTCCTTGGGTCACAATTCAATTCAGAATCTATTTTAGATTCAAAACGTTTCTTGTTTCACTATTTAAAGTCTATTTTTGAGTTAGTACATACTTCAGGATCTACTCCAGTCATCTGTGAGACTGGCTGAATGTCTTGCTGCTCTATTTGGCATTCAACTGGGTTAACCCTAACCCTTAAAGAGCTAGCCTTAGCACTTACCAGGGAGTGACTGATTAGCCCATTTTTTTTTTTTTTGGAAGTTATGAATCTATTAAAAATCTCACAAGATAAGAATCTCGATTTTAATAAAAGTTTTTTTCCCACCTCTAGAAAGACATGTAAAAGAAATGGCTGCAGAGATATTAACAATGCATTGTATTCTTCTGTTACTATCTAAAGGCACAAATGACATGCAAACAGATGATGCACGGTCTGAAGCAGCACACTGAGTTCAGACAAAGACTGGAGGAGCCAGGCGGAGCAGAAACATTTGCAAAAGGGACATCCGTGGTAGACCCAGTTTTGCTCTGGGCACGTGTGTGTCTGCCAGTGTGTGCGCATCTAAGTGTGTGCATGTGTGTGAGTGAGTCTGCTAAGCATGCCAGTGTCTGTGTGAGTTTGCTGTCTGTCTGTGTGTGCGTGCCATTCTGCAAGAGTATTATGTAACGTATGAATGATGTAATGCAGTGCTGCCTGGGCACATTAGCAGCGGAGGGCATATCTACGTCTGACTCACCTGAGCACTTTGGACAAGCTGACCTGAGCTCAGAGTGCAACCTCAGTCTCATGTTTAAAGATGGCCGCCTGTTTCTTGTTGCTGAGGATTAAAGCATTTGATCCATTTGATCCCCTGCAGTGATCCCCTAAATCGGCCCGTCTCATATGAGCCACAGATTTTGTTGGAAGCATGGTTGGAGACTGTTTACATGTTTGTGGTTGAACGCTGTGTACTAGTGACATCATGAACTCGGTTAGATAACTTATTTGATCACTAAACGGACTTATGCTGTGACGTTGGACGGAGCATGGCTGTGACTGCTGTGATGATGAAAAGACAAAATGTGTTATATTTAATGTCTTTTATAAGTTGAATCTGCTTATGCTTAGTGTTTCTGTTATGGTTTAAATGGTAATTCTTCTTCTTTCTCTCCTTGTCATGTCGCTTTGGAGGCAGATTCCTGTCACATTTGCTTTATCGAATCACTGCAGAATTGCTGTTGGCGATCTGTGTCATTGTATCTGGCAGGCATGTCGTGTTCAGCCAAACACGTACTGAGTGGGACCGCTGGGTCTGCTCATGCATGTGTAAAAAGTGTGTGTGAGTGTTTGTGTTTGTTCACAGAGGTTGGCAGCAGCATGGGCAGTTTCGTCAGCAGATGTAGGCATCCCCAGACTAATTGTGTAATTTCAGTGTTTACGTAAGGGGCCAAGTCTTCCAAACTGTCAAAGTGTCTCCAGACTAATCCCAGAATGCCTACTTTCTACTTGTGCTAAACACACATACACACACACACACACTCACACTCACACAAAGTCGTTCTGACATTGCAATAATTTCATATTCAGGCTCTTAGACAAATCTCTCCGGTGTTACAGTGTCTCAGCTCCAGTTGGTGTTTTAATGCTGGTTTTCATCTTCACTGCACAGATTTGTTGGAGGACGTTCACTCGTGTTATTTTTATCCACTGACGTTAACTCTCCACCCATTGCATCAGCATTTTTTTTTTTTAACTCAACATTTTTTTTATTACCTTTCTAGACAATTTCAAATAATGTACAGAGTCGGCATAATGTACAAAAGATACAGGGAACATCAATATCCAAGTCCCTCATCCCCCTCATCCTCTTTCAGTCCCCATCCACCTGCCAGGATTTTATAATACTTCATTTTAGTACACCAATCCTGGAGTTAAAAACAAGCAAGTGCTGGAAGTCAGGGTATGTATCGAGGAAAGGAGAGGATTAAAAAAACAACAACAGTAGAGCAGTTAGAAAGGAAAATGTGCATAAAATTAGGAAAAAGGGAAATAACTGTTTGAATTGCATGCCTAAAATTATATCAAAGGGATAGAGTGTATAATAAAAGAGAGAGAGAGGAGAGAGTGCTTCTTTAAAAGGACTCAAGATTCTGGAAGTGCTCCAGAAAAGGTGTCTACACCTTTTTGAATTTTTTGCTGCAGCCAGTGCCGAGTAAGAAATCTTTTACTTTTTCATTTTGTTGTTATTTTTAAGTGTTCATCAACTCACCCTTTGTTTCCTTCTCTGCAGGTAAGTCCCACCTGGCCGTGGTGCAGAGGGTGAACAGCGAGGGGGAGGGAGATCCTTTCTATGAGGTGATGGGCATTGTCACCCTTGAGGACGTCATAGAGGAGATCATCAAGTCTGAGATCGTGGACGAGACAGACCTGTACAGTGCGTATGATGCAGAAACATCCTAATAATAAAGCTTTTGAGTTGTTGCATTAGCTGTGAATCCATTGTGTCGTGTTTCCACCTCCCACACTGAATTCATTTTCTCTGTTTGTCACAGTAGCTGACAGTTTTTACAGCTTTCCTGTCTGCAGCAGAATGCTCCATTTAAATGCACATCGAGCTGCTAAAAAAGCATTTTGCTTGAGCAGTACATTGCGACTTCCTTTCCTTTCCCACCTCCTCTCCTTTTTTTCCCATTACACTATTGATCCCACCTTCCCTCCTGTGTTGTCCCCAGCTCCTCCCTAATGCATAATTAAATAATGTGAATAAATGGCCCCGGTCTCACAGATAATAACTATAATCCGCTCATCTTTAATTGGCTGGAAAGTCTCTCCACAGAGAGGAACTCAAAATGTCAAACTCATGCCACTCCATATCTAATCTTTCTGCTGTTTGCCTGCCGCAATGAGGGTAAATAATTTGTTATTATATGCTTTCACAAAAACTCCTGCTCCCAGAGGACGCAAGCAACCAATTCTGAAGTATGCTCAAATTTTAATTATATGCAGTGTGTGGAGCATTCTGTCAGGGGTGCACTTGTGTGTGTGTGTGTGTGGGTGGGTGTTTATAAAGTCCTGTTTTTTTCTGTGTCTGCGTGTGCATAATTATGTGAGTGCACGTATATGGCACAAAGGGAGCTAATCTCCCCAGACGTGCTCTTCAGGCAGTTGCAGCACCAGCTGTTTCTGACGCTGCAGCTACGACGTATTTAATCGAATATAATTTATTAAATACTCTTCACATCTAAGTCAATTCATCAGTCAGAGGTCTGTTAACACAGCACGCCATAATCTTCTGCTTCCTCCTAGAGTTGATATAATGATTAAGAAAAATCTTCAGGGGGGGATCAGGGGATTCGTCTTAATGGTTTATAAGCTGCAGGATGTTGAGTTGCATCAGCTAATGAGGTCAGCAACACCTCGAAATAGTTTACTCCTTGTAGTGCCAACGTGAATAATTTACTTATGTAGCATCTAGTAGGGCAAAGTTAACACCTCTCCCTCCTTCGGCTTTTACCAGAGCATCTCAAAGGTGAAACATCGCAGTGGAAAAATGTAATTGAATTGCAAAGTTGGCATTTTACTGACGATTGATCTGTTTGTGTTTATAGCTGATAATCGAACCAAAAGGCGAGTATCACACCACGAGAGGAAGCAGCAGGATTTCTCCATCTTCAAACTTGCGGAAAACGAGCTGAAGGTTAAGATCTCACCCCAGTTGTTGCTGGCAACACACCGCTTCTTGGCTACAGGTAACACTGCATGTGTGTGTGTTTATGCATTTTGTGAATGTTCTCTATGTGGAGAGTACATTGTGGATTGAAGCGTAAAGCTAGGACAAGGAGATGTTGGAGGAAAAACATTTTTATTACTCGTTTTTCTTTAGTTTTTTTCTTTTTGTAAGTGTCTGTATGCATCCATCCTGCAGAGGTGGAGCCTTTCAGACCCTGTCACCTGTCAGAGAAGATCCTGCTGCGTCTCATCAAACATCCCAGCGTTGTGCAAGAACTCAAATTCAATCCGAAGAACAAACACGCTCCTCAACACTACCTCTTCCAGAGAAACAAACCTGTCGACTACTTTGTCCTCATCCTGCAGGTAAATCTAAAACTCTGCTGCGGTCAGAGCTACAGACTGACGGCAGCCTGAAGGCTTTTTCTGATGAATTATGAAATGTATTTATCATATTTGCTCTTTATTGTTATAATTACAGTGCTTTTGCATATTTCTCTATTAATTCAGTTTGTTTTAACACTGAGAGCTTTTCTAACGCTTGTCAATGTGTTGCAGGGCCGGGTGGAGGTTGAGATAGGAAAGGAGGCTCTGCGCTTTGAGAATGGAGCATTTTCCTACTATGGCATGCCAGCACTCATCCCCCCCCTGCCTATCGGTAAGTAAGTGCACACATGAAGACATAGTACAGAAGTGGAATGAAGGTGACAATGGTGACGATGACAACAGGAAGAGTTTAGAAATAAGAGTCACAAAATGAGTGCTATGCTGTTCTGAATCCCACCCAGCGTCTGTGTGTCGTCAGCATGCAGCAGCCGTGGGAAGTAAGTAATTAAAAGAAGTGATTTCAGAGAATTTCCCAGTGGAAGGACATGACCTGCAGGATTATATGAAAGCCTGCTAAGACTGCAGTGCAAGCAGAACGCCTTGTCCCTCCCTCCCTCCCTCTCTCACCGTTTCTTATGGACGTTGTGTGCATGTTTTGCATGTGTGACGTTCAGGATGTGCTTCAAGAATTTTGGAAGACCTCATTAAACATTAGAAAATCCCTTCTTAGGACATTACAGAATCCAGTGTTGCATTTCAAAAGTGCTGCTTTTTACTGACTTTCTTGTACTCGCTCTCTTTTTGAGTCATTGCTCTCCAATTGGACTTGACAAGAACAGCAGCTCTTTCCACTCGGCATGGTAGTGCAGACCTATGCAGAATGTAAGGAAAAGGGGCTGCACAACAAAATGCACACATGTGGAGATCTGCACTCTGAAAGCCTAAATAATACATGTGTGAAATATAAAAACACTGACTAATCTTTAAAAGTGTAGCCCCATAAAAAGTCTAATAAGCACAAATTGGGTTGCATTAATGTGCTGTGAAGAGGGCATAGCCGAAAACATTCTTCTCTCTCGTGTGGCCAACAAAGATTTTCAAAATATATAATCAAAGAGCATTTTCATACCGCCTGGTATCATGTTTATATGACATATATAGTAAATATGAAACCCAAAAGTGTGTTTTCTTCTGTTCTGCTCTGTTTAGGTCAGAGGTATAGTTCCCGAGGTAGCGGTCTAAACCAATCAGATTCCTTACTGAGTGGAGGCAGTGTGGGTCAGCTCACTGCAGGAGGAGGGGCTTACTTACCCGACTACTCTGTGCGCCAGCTCACAGACCTGCAGATCATCAAGGTTTGTTACAGAAATGCCTGCAAACACATCACAGAAACACAAACATTAAAAAAAAAAACCATGGTTATTATAAAGGTCAACTAAATGTATAACTTCCTGCACAGTGACTGTAAAAAAAAAAAAATGGAGCACAAGCAAGCCAACAATTGCACTTAAACCCCTCCATTTAATCTCCAAAATTCCCCGAAAATGCAGACTCTTCCTCTAGTGCAGCGTGTGCCTTTGATATGTCCTAATCCCTGATTCTGACTAAGAACAGACATCCTGCTCTCTCTCCCTCTGTGCACCCTCTTTCCTTTAATCACAGGGGATAATTGTGCTCCATTTCAACCGTGAATATTTTAGCTTTAAATGATTGATGTGCCCTCACACTTCAATCCCCCCGCCTCTTTCTAAAATACAGTCTGACCCCCTGTCAGATGTACATACACAGAAATGATAGTATTTGATTTTTTTGCAGATAACTAGAAACCACTACCAGAATGCCCTCACAGCCAGCAGGATGGACAGCTTCCCACAGACTCCAGACTCATTGGATCTTAAAGAAAGGCCTCCGATCCCAGAGGCCCGCTCGCACAGCATCGCCCTCCCCCTCACGCACACACACACTCGACTGGGGCTGGCACGCCTTGCACATCTGCATCCCCATGGTGGCCTTCGCAACATGTCCCAGCTCAATGAGAGAAACCGAATCGTTCGTAAGTAGTTTCGATCATTGAAATCTTATTTAAAGGCGTTTTTTTTGGATGGCACTCAATTTGGCGGACCTTCTACTTGAGCATGCAAACAGAGTGGAAGTGTGTAGGGAGTGGTTTAAGAAAGGCCCCATAAGCTGAATTAAAAGGACCAATACGAAATAACAACTAAATTAAACCATAAAATAATATCAGCAGAAGTTAAGCAAACATGATGTATCCTGAAGTTTGGGCTCCTCTGACAACAATGAAGCAGCCAGCATGAAATAACAAAGAGTAAGGTCTTTCACCTGCTTTTTGTAAAGTGTCTTGAGAAAACATTTGTTATGAATTGGCGCTATACAAATAAAGATTGATTGATATGTTCTCCTAAATTTTGATTCTGGTTAGGAATGGTCTGTATTTCTTGACCAGAGACGGTAGTTTGTCATATGAGACCAGTTATCACAGCAAACCAACGGGCGTCGCAGCGATGGAGGCATTCAAGCAAATTGTCAGATATAACTGATTCTACCCGACCTAAAAAGCCTCAATGTTTTTCTAATAAGCTCCACGAGCAGAAACGATGTATAAATAGCATCAGTATTGGAGATGCTTTTTGAAAAATGGAGAGCGCAGAAAGGTTTCAAGACAGATTCAAAGCTGGCTAAACACTGAAGCTTCAGGGTCCGTGACATGGCAGTAGAGACAGTTCTCTCCAATGTTTTGAATTTGGACCGCAGTACCCATTTTAAACATTAGGTGTCAGAGTTACATATTGTTCCTTTATTTCTAACAGTTTTGCTTTTGCAGTCAATTTTTTTTATCTTGCGTATGAAAAAAAACCCACAAAATCCCTGAAATGTAAATGATGTTGAGCTTGCTGCATGAGGCTTAATTTGAATTTCAATGGCAGAGATTTCTTTTGAAGAGATAAAAAAGGTTCAAAGGATCTAACACAATGATGTGAGTGCTTTGTGAGCTCAGGGACAAAATAACTGTTTAAAAGGAGCATTGCATGGTAAAGAGAAATGTGGAACAAAAATGATGATCTAATGAGGATCTGCAAATCAGAAAAATAATCATCCCAGTTTTAACCATGAAATTCACTATTTTCATCAATAAAATGAACCCCATAAGTCCTGAACTTACATGACTCATGCATAAAACTGGTGCAAACGCAGTGTAAACCAATCTGTACTGGTTTCAAGGCTTAAAGGATTTCTCACGTACCATCTGTCTTATACTGTGTGTAACACGCCACAGAGTGTGTGTGTTTGTGTTTGTGTCATTAAGAAAAATATATGAACAGATGGGTCTGTTGGTTGTCAAATGAAGAGAAGATTTATCTAATTAAGTCCCATTCAGTGGTTAAAGCTTATCTTTAGTTGTATTCTAAATGTAATCACCACTGTCACATTTAGTTTCTTACTGGGTCCTAATACAGCTCTGATGAATAATATGTTCTCTATCTCCCTCTGTAGGCAGAGCTACGAACCAGCTGGTGTTTTTGTAGCTGATGCAGTTGTTTTACAGCGGATTGGTCTTTCTCTCTCCACAGGCAGTAAATCTGACGGGCAGAGGAGTCCCAATGATACTGTGTTCCTCCGCATGGATGAGATTCCCTACATCCACGAGGACCGACCAGACATTTATGGAGAGAATGGTGAGACATGGCTCCACGCATACTGGATTATAATCTCAGTTAAAACTCAAAGAAGACCTTTAGTTAATCCTATGTAAAGGTTCTCATGGAAAGATATTTTTTAAATAATATTCCAGCAAAGGAGCTCATTTTGTGGGCTGTGTATCTACTGTTGACTGTATAAAACATGGACCGAGTCCTAGTGATGTTACCCATTGGTTTCAGAAGCTGAGTTTTGAAGCACAACAATGGCGATTGTCATATTGGAAATGCTGAGAAAGACGTACTCTCAATCAAAGTAGGTAAAGAGTTAAGGCGGTTCTTAAGCCTCCTGGCAAAGAGCTAAAACCTGCCCACCTGATAGTCAAATCAGCCACGCTCATGCGTATGCACAACATTTATGAATGAATGAAAGACTTTATTTTTAAACAAAAATTAAATACGATGACATATTAAGCCTTAACATAATCAAAATGGATGATTTAAAAAATGTAGTCCTTGTATAGTGTGTAAGAATAAAGATATGAGCTATTTAGACCAAATTTGTTTTTTGAACCAGGCTGTATTCATGTTTAATTCTTCTGTCAAAATGTGGATTTTAACATGGGAGGCTGACGCAGGAGTGGTTTTTCACTCCTGCCCCATCCTACTCCAACAAAAACAATCCCGGTCCTGTCCCAATCCCGTTAGAATTATTTCTGTCCCATCCCGCTCCAGTGATTAGTATTGAAGTCCATTCACGTCCCGCAGGAATCCCGAAAAAAATGTCAGCCACTAATGGGTGTCTAGGGGCTTTCAGGGGAATCTGGAGCCAGCCTCCAGGGAACACTCAAAGAACTGCTTCCCTTCTGTCTCTTTCAGATGTGCCTATAGAGTCTCTGCCGTCCACCTCCCCGTTCATCAGCTCCCGCTCTCTGTCCAGCTCTGAGGAGAACATTGGAAAGAAGCTGCTGCGTAAACTGAGTGAGTAAGCCATTTGTCACCAACACCCATGTGACAGCATGCCCACACATACCTTCAGGTGCACTCAAACTTTTCTGTCAGACATTCATAGGAATAGTGGAGAGTGTATCTTAGCAACAGGTTATGTGTCATGCAACCTTCATCCTGCAGAGCAGAGAATAAAGTTGTCATATCAGGTTAGTGATACATGATGACTCAGACTTTTACGTATTAATTAGTGGAAGAAGCTGTGATGCTAAGTGCCTCTGCTGTTATTTTTGTTAAAGGCAGAATGTGCGACATTTTACGCATAAATATAGCAGAAATCAAGTATATCCTCGATTACCATCTCATATTTATGACTGTGATGAGTCATGACCGTCTACAATGAGTGTGACGCATGAGTCCCCGCTGTCTGTGATGATGTCTGAGCCGATGTTTACATGGACGGGACGGCCAGACAGCCGGCTTATCCCCTTGCGTATAAGAGCTGTTTGAGTGAGGGACTGTAGAAAAGATGAATAACATACTGTACTCACTGCTTATTTTACTGTCACGTCAGCGTTTTTAGATCGTGGTCATTCCGTGTACATGCAATGTATTGGCTATCCTTTTGAGACAAGAGGCTATGTCCACATCTATTTTGATACTAATAGACAAGATGAGACTGCTATACGGAGATTTTTAATCCAGTAATAATGCCCTGATGTGAAATCAGCATCTTTTTTTCCGTTTACAGGCAACAAGAGGCGGAAAAAGTCTCGAGATGAGGAAAAAAGTTTGGAGGAACGTTCGGAGGGAAGTTCAGAGCAATTACCAGCCGCAAGCTAGCACTGTCAGACTGAGGAGGAGGGATGAAGCACACACCTTCTTCCTCTTCATCATTCACAGGTTTCACCCCTTAACAACAATCAACCCTTCATAAACTCTCTCCACGCTTCAACCGTGACTCTCACAGGAGACTGAGCCATCATACCTGCTGTACTCTCTGTCCCACCTCTGCCTGACTTCACACCCTTAAAGTGACGTAACAATAGGGACGGATCTTATAAAAACTTGATTGGACAAATCTAGACAACGTAGTTTTGGATTTATCCAGCCTTACACTGGACTGTGTGGACCTCACATGTTTTGAATTAGCATGTGTTAGCTTTTCATGGTAGCCTTTAGCCATATTGCTAACATTGAAGCATGTCATTTTAGCCATAATGTGTTAACGCAGCATAGCGATCATGTCTGAGCCATTTTTCACCTTTTACTTGGATTCAACTATAAAAAGAGTATTTATTATTTACTTGTGAAGACGAGGCCGTTCCAACACAATGATAATGTGTTTTGCACAGGGAACTGTGTTCATGTTGCCATAAGGGTGCCACTTACTGCCAAACACAACTCAACACACTAGCCATCAGCCAACACAAGGGGTGCACCGATTGAGGAAATCTGATACTTCAAAATAGTATCAGATTAATAAATATTAGATAAATAGAAAATACTGATTCCAATGTTCCTAACAACAGTGTTGCCGATAGTCGATTCAAATACCAATGTTTTTAAGATATTTGTTGTTGCATATTTAATTCAATCGTAAAAACAATTGCTTTAAAAGCTTCCTCAGCCTGCTTTACAATCACAAACTCAGCAATTTTTAGAGATTACACAGCCCAACAAATCTCCCAAAAAAAGAAAGGAATGTAATTTAACACAGAATTTCATCCTGCTTTTCTATAACAGTGAATAGTTTCACCAATCAAACATCTTTGATTGCCTTGTAACATGTATAAAGAGGTTGTTTTCAGCAGCATGCTGTGTATGACTTCACCCGTCACCTACCCTACAGCAAGTTTCAGGCTTTCAAAATGATAATAATGTAGAAATAATCAATCTTGAAGGAGAATAAAAACTCTCTGTTTTAAGAGTTCAAATACAGACATCAGTATTAACTTCAGTGTGTTCACAGGAACTTTAAATTGAAACGAGACAACAGATACACATCTGTACTGGAATCAGTATGCTTCATTATTTTCCAATAGGTTGATATCTCTCAAAGGGGTAAAGTGAAACATCGATGCATCCCTAGCTGAGACTAAAAGCCACCAGAGAAGAGCACAGTTTTTACATCAGATTGAAAAGAAGACAATTATGAAAAGCCATAACATTCATTCTCAGCTTGATTCACTAGTTACTGTGAAAACTTACCTCTACAAGTTCAGAGAGGTGTGCACAATTTTACAAGTACCTATGCTAGAATGAATGACAATTTCTTACCTGGTTTTTATACGGAAGTGATAGAGTTAACTAAAGTAATATGAAGAAGCAATATAAGTCATCCTACATGATGTTAATGGCTTGAATTTATCACTACATACATGCATGGGGACTGAATCCTCCCCGTCTTTCCATGAAAACATTTCTTCCTTGTACTGTAGCTATAAAAACATAACTTTTTTACCTTTTAGAAAATGATCATAAAACCATACCAACATCATACAACCAGTGAACATTTAAGCCTTTTCTATGTACAGTTCATCTCTCACAGGTTTAGTCACTTAAGCTGCACACACCAAACCTAAATAAGCTAGGGGTTATATGTAGGGGGACTTGGGTTGGAAATGGATATTATGAGTATTCTCCAGGAAAAGTAGTTGCTACTTGCATGTTTGTTTATGCTGCTATCGATGTAGAATTGTCCCCTGTAGAAATCCCTGTTTCTCCATATGCATGCTTACGCAAAACGATGCATGAATAGGACGATACCAGTCTGCAGAGGTGCAACGTGTAGCATCTGAAACAATTTAAAATGAACCTTACAGAGACAGCATCCTAAAATGTTAGCATCCAAAGCTAAGAATCAAGTGAAAAGTACAAAAAAAATAAGAAAAAAAACACTCTAAAGACAGTTTTCATGTTTTAAACTGTGTGTATTGAAGCACACGGAGAATTTGGAACAATTAAAAAATCACTGTATCTAAAAAAAAAAAGAAAAGAAGTGGGTTGGAGGATGCTATAGCTGCTGCTCACTGAAAAAGGAGTTAAAGCCATTCTCCAAACAAATCTTATAGAGAAGCAATAAATAATCAAACGTTCTTTTAAAATGTAAGTCCAGCTCAGGTTGGATTCAGCCGATCTGCACTGGGAGATGTTGACAGTTGTAGGAAAGAAGAGATATGCGAAAGAGGAAAGCAATATGACGCACACTGACGTCAAGACACCACCTCTCTTCAAACACACGCATACACACTGGTGGTGTGTGGGGACACTCACTGATATGATTCATTCTGCTTGCTAAGGCTATGGGAGTACAAAGGATACTGCACTGCTGAGCTCTTCACATTGACCCCTGTACGGACACAGAACATGCAGCGGGAAGTCTTTTGATCTGACAAATGAGTGCAAGCACGCTCTCAGTTTTTGCAGTTGGTTAACACTGGTTTATAAATATTTGTAGAGATTATTATATGAACTGTTGTGGATAAAAAGGCAAAGTTGCATTTTGTAGTTTAATATTCAGATGATTACAAAAGGTACCCAAAGATATAAAGAGATAGATCATGTGTTCCACACAAGGGATGATGAAATTATGAATAAAGGGAATCAACAATATTTCTTGTCTACTTTCTTTGATTATTTTTTTTAAACAGGAACTAAGCGTGTAAAATGCATTATTATTTTCTAATCATCACCCATTGCAAATGATTTGTTCACAGTATGAAACACAAATGACAACAATACACTTATACTGTTAAAAGTTATTTATTGGAGAAGTTATTCCATGTCACAAGAAGGTCTGGTGAGGTAATGCAAAGTGTTCAGCTGTATGCTGCTCTATTGGTCCATTATTCACAGAGACACGATAGCAAACTGGTTGATCATTAGTGTGTTTGTGCCACTGACATGTGGGTCTTGCGTAATAGTGCACTAGTGCTGCAAACAGTCTTTTCACTGTGCAAACTCCACATTCGTTTAATTGGCAGGAGCCTGAAAGAGCCAAAGACATCCCAACATTCAGCAGTCACGACACCTGCCAGGACAGTTAAGTGTCATTTGTGCTCCATTAAAAATAATTCAATGTGAGGTAATTAGTAAAAAAAAAAACCTTTAGGGTTGAAGACAGCATCATTAATAAATTACATCGTTGAAAATATCTTCCTGAGAACACTCGTCTCTTGTTCAAATTGCAACTAGTACCGAACGTAATACTGCAACTTTCTTCCTGATAGAGGCGTAAATTCATCTACTACAACTGCCTCCTTTTGTTACAGACTCATTTTTAATAAGCTGCTCTTTTCTGTGAAAAGAAAAAAAAATGGAAATGTGTTATCAACACTTGGAATGGACGAGTCATAGCAGCACAACATTAAACGTCTTTAGACAGTCACACAGTCACACACATGTATTAAGCCTCTCAAAGGGCCTGGTAATGACACATCCACACTACATTACATGTACAAATTCTGTGATGTCACACTGAATTCACTACAAGCATAAGACCAACAAAAAAGGCTGTACGACAAATTACAAACACAATTACCTAAAGGAATAATCCCAATATTTAGTGTCTTTTCAGGAGTTGGAAGATGAGACAAATACCAAAGAAGCTAGGCTAAACGTCCATGTGGTGTTTAGCCTAGCTTAGCACAAACACTGAAATCGACGGGGAGAGAGGCAGTGAGCTGAACACTTTCCCTGGAATAAGGTGGCTCAGGGCCAGGCAGGATAACATTCAGAGAATTGTGGGTAGTGTAGTCTTCTACTGGACTCTGGTGACAGTCTCATGGATGGACTCAGCTATGTAGTTGATGTTCCTCGTGGTCACACCGCACATGTTGATGCGACCGCTGGCCATTAAATAGATATGTTTCTCCTTCACCATGTACTCCACTTGTTTGGCTGCAGGAAAAACAGCAAAAATAAATCTAATTACTCTGGTGATGAATATGAATCTGACAAGATCCTGAAACTACAGTATCTATGAAGTGAAGCTTTCTTTTTAGAAGCCCTGTACATTTTTTTTACAACTTTTAAATATCTCCAGAATATTCACTTTTACAGGATCCATATTTGTTTCCACCAAAGACTGGTTTGTTGTTTCTACAGGGATGTGTGTGGGTGGTTGTTTTTGCCGAGCTGTGTGTTTGTCCGTGTATGGCCTTTGTACTCACGGTTGAGGCCCGTGAAGCTGAACATGCCGATCTGCTCTGTGATGTGGTCCCAGGTCCCCGGTGTCCCCAGTGCTTGGAGCTTAGCCTTCAGCTGAGCCCTCATCAATAACACCCTGTCAGCCATTGTCTTCACATTGTCCTTCCTGGAGGCAGAACATAAAAGAGAATGAATCTACATCAGGAAATACCTTTCTTTTTTTATACCATGTGCAATGCATTGAGTGTTCTTTAAGTAGGGACAGTTGGTGCTTGCCATTCAGCAAAGAGCTCAGGTGTGTTGAGAGTGATGGCAACAATCCGGGCTCCCTGGGATGGCGGGTTGGACCATGTGGTCCTGACTATCTTCTCCATCTGGGACAGAACTCTTTTCAGGTTGTCTGCATTACGAGCCACAATGGTCAGGTTGCCGACACGCTCATCTGATGGGACAGAAATATGCCAGTCACTTGCCAGACAGAATCTAAAATCTGCTAAATTCTGTCGGTGCAAAGGTCATGGGGATTAAGGACATTACAATAACAATGTCACTATTTATCACTGTCATGCAAGCAAATGCACCCAGGGTCACTCACTGTAGAGGCCAAAGTTCTTGGAAAATGACTGTGCGCAGAACATTTCAAAGCCCATGGAGACAAAGTAGCGAATCGCCCAGGCATCTTTATCCAGACTGCCTGAGGCGAATCCCTGATAAGCCGAGTCAAAGAACACAAACAGCTTCCTCCTCTGGAAAAGAACAGGATGAAAGATCAAACAATTAGCGTGCTGTGATGAACCAAGTCCTGTTTATGCTGACACTAACACTATGCGGTTGTGTATTTGTGTGCATAATACCATCATAATTTCAGCGATCATCTTCCACTGCTCATGTGTGGGGTCTGTGCCAGTTGGATTATGAGCACAGGCATGAAGGACAAAGATGGAGTGCTCTGGACAAGTCTGCAGAGACAGAGAGAGAAGAGCAAGAAGAGAAGTACAATAAACTCCAATGAAAATGACTGTTAGCAAAATAAAGTAGTTCCAGAGTTCATATCACACACTGCTTACCTCCAAGTCACCGAGGAAACCCGCCAAATCGAGGCCCCTGTTCTCTGCATCCCAGTACTTGTATGGACGCACATCCTCAAAGCCAGCATTAGCAAACACAGCATTGTGATTCTCTGAAACGATCAAGGTCAAGAAACTCTGATAACAGTCGTCATATTTGATTGGTTCTACTGGCTCTGGATAAAAGGGTGGGTATTGTTTTAATGAAAGCTTCTCACATCAGAGGTGATAACAAATCAACATCAGTGATAAGATGTGAGAGTCATTAATAAAACTGTACTGACGTGCTGAGTCTAAAGTCTGAGAAGTCTCTGTAAAAGGACTCAAAGATCAAAGTCGAGTGGCTGGCTTTTAGAAAGCATGTTTGTTTCTACTCTGTGCTGTTTTTTTTGTTTGTATAGGGCTGGGGACAAGTTAATTATATCAACTCTAACTCAAGTCTCAAGTCTTTGAGAGGCAGGTCCAAGTTAAGTCTCAAGTCTTTGAAGACAGTCGCTTAGCAACATCAAGGATGCCTTGAGCTGCGTATGCCGTGAGTCAGCCCTGACTGTAGCAGCAGAAGGTGATGTGCTTTCCACGGTGTCATCTTCAAAGTGTCGCTGCTCATGCACCAGATGCAGAAGATGGGAGGGAAGCAGATTCAGCTTCTAATGATAATGTGTCAGAAATACAGAATAAAAGGATCGGGCATGACTCTCAGTCTGAGTCGAGTCTGAAGTTTTTGATTTCCAAGTCATGTTGGGGCGGCTGTGTCTCAGTGGTAGAGTCAGTCATATCTCAACCAGGAGGTGATCCCCAGCTCCTGCAGCCACATGTCGATGTGTCCTTGGGCAAGACACTTAACAAATTGCTGCCGCTGCTTCGTCAGCAGGGTGTGAATGTCTATGAATGGATTAGTTAATACTGATGGACAATTTACATGGCAGCTTCTGCTATCAGTGTGTGAATGTGTAGGTGTGACCTGCATCATTTTACCAAGTCTCTAGTCACATATGTCTTTTACTGAAGTGCAACTGGAGTCTTACCCCAGGTAGGTGCAGACACATAGACGGGTGTTTTAGTGTTGTTGTTTCCGTTGTAGAAACGCCTAAGAAACTCTGCGCCCATCTTCAAAGCACCCGTGCCTCCCAGACACTGAACAGCTCCGACCTGTCAGTGACAGAATCCAACATTTATTTTCAAATCTAAATATATCAAAAATGAAAATATATAAAGGTTTTTTTGGGTTTTTTTCCAAACACAAACCCTGTTCTCCTGGATGGCAGAACTGTCGTCGCCCAGTGCGATCTTGGAGGCTGAGGATCTGAACTCAGGCAGGCCCAGGATGGGCAGGTACTCATGGTTTAGCCTGTCATCATGCACAATGATCTTTTCCACCTTTTTCACCACCGGTAAAACCCATGGCTTGCCTTCATCTGTCCGGTAAGCTGCAAGGAACAAGTCAAAGAAACCGATTTTATGCATAGAAGTGGAGGATTTCTTAATAATGATTTTAGATTTAATCTTATGCTTTAAAAGAAAGGTTTCTAAGAAGACAACTCTTCTAGCAGCTCCTTCTTATAGTTTAACATACCGTAATATCAGCTCCCCCAAAACACTTTCTTTCCCTTGTTAACTAAACTTTTTTTTATAAGATTCTACAAGATGAGTTATTGATTATTCTGCCCATTGTTTTTAAGGTTATGGTAAATTTCAAATAGTGAAAAATGCAGATCAAAAGATCATAAAGCCCAGAGTCAAGTCTTATAAGACCTTCAGATAGTCCAAGTATTTTAAAATAATATAAAGAAAAGCATCAAATCGTCACAATTTATAACCCTTAGTGTTGCCATAGGAATGTATTGAGTAGATTTTGAAAAAACTTGCTGAATACATTTTCTATGAATGAATGTCTACTTGTTTTGGCATTACTTTAGTATTTCAGACATCAAATGGACTTCATTTCCCAGCTTCCCCACAGCCGATGACCATCTGCGAGCTGTGTCCCGCAGGAAGAAGCGGATTATGAGGCCTCAGCCTGCTGCACTAATCATGAGACTCCGGCAGCCTCGTCCTATAATGCAGTGCCATAACAACACTGCCACAACAGAGCGCAGCTATGTCTCCTACACGGCTCCTTTGCAATGTAAGCAGCAAGGATTACTACTTTTAATGAGATTAACACTCCAAACAGTTGAACCGAGGACTGAAATATGCCATTTGCTCACTTTAGGAATGAAGCAGGAGTGAGCCATGCATATTTAAAATCCTGCAAGTAGCTTGTTCGTGTTGCATGCAGAAACAGTAATCCAACCGAGGGAGGAGTTATTGTGCACAGTTTCAGCAGGAGTGAGTAAGCAGAGAGGACAGGGACAGAGATGATTCAACTCTTTGTGCAGCACTATTACCTAACACGGT